CCCCCAAGAGCCTATCCCCGAGAAGCTGCCTGGCTGCGCCCCCTTGAGAGGCGGCCCCCCATACCCACGGAGCAGACCTCACCTCTTCTCAACCGGTTTGACGCCCACGGAAAGCGAGGCCATGGCGGTGACCGTCTCGGCCTCCTCGGTCTCACATTTCTGCGCCTCCACCAGCGAGTAGGCCACGGTGGAGGCGGCCCGCTGCAGGGAGCACCAGTACTTGCCTGGGGACAAGGCAGCAGCGGTCAGCGTCAGGTGGGCTGGGGGCTAGAGGCTGTCCGGGGCTGAGGGGTGCCCCTCATGCCGCTTGGCCGGAGCAAGACCTGAGGATCGGGTGAGAACTCTGGGAGCCTCTTTCGGTGGACAGGGTGGGCACCCGGGCTACAGACCACATGCGACGCATGAGAGTGGACGCTGTCTAGGACACACCCACTAAGTCCTCTGTCTGACACACCAGCCATGCGAACAAGGGCAGGAACTCCTGGGCAGTGTCTGCCCTCCTCCTTGCCTGTGAACGCCACGGAGGGCATGGAGCCAACCATGGGTCTGCCAGTGTGTGTGTGTAGTTGTGGTGATAGCTGGGTGGGGGGCCCTGCATGCCATTGGGTACGGGGAGTCCCCTGCTTGTTGTCTAGAGGCTGACTGGTGGGGGTCCTATGTGATAGCTGGATAGGTGGGCGGGGCCCTTGTATGGCGCCTGGTGGGGATGGAAGTGCATGTGCCGACTAGGAGTGGGCAGGCCGGGGTCCCTCCCGGTGTCTGGCCGCATGGCCGGCCCTGCGCCTCTCGTCAGAGGAATGCCTTGTTCTGTGAATCACTAGGGGAAGTGGGCTGCTGGGCCTTTCTTGCTGGGGGGTGGTTTGATGGGGGTGGGGGGTTTTGGGGTAGACAGACAGGGGCCCGTCCCTCTCACTTGTCGGCAGGGGAGGAGCACATGAGGCGTCTGTACTACCCAAGTGCCCCTCCACCCCCACCCCCATTGGCCATCATTCCTCCCCAGGCTGACCTGTATTGTAGCCTGTGCCCACCTTCTAGCAAGGGTAGGTGGCAGAAGCCAGCCTGTCTCCCCTCTCTGGCAGTCACCCAGAGGAGGGGGAACCCCTGCTACCTCAAGCCTAGGAGGGGAGCTCTCAGACGGCTTCTTTGCTCTGGCTGAGCCCCTTGGTGTCCCCCTTACAGTTCCGTGTGTGTGTGTGTGTGTGTGTGTGTGTCCCCTGAAAGTGGTCACAGTGGCTTTGGGAGCATCGCTGGGAGGTACTCAAGGTGATTGCCAGCCAAACCAGAGTCACAGGACCTGCAGGTCTAGGGTGACTGTCCCCTGGGGCTCTTGAGGTGGTCCTGCTGTATGGGAGCACACTGTTTCATCGTTCTCCCTGGGAGTGGCTATGGGTTTCGAACCACCAACCTTCATGTCACTTATCAGCATTTAACCACTGCGCCACCAGGGCGCTTACACCCACGGCCACTGAATCCATTCCACGGCAGTGCGCCTAGAGGGCAGAGTGGAACCGCCCCAAAGGGCCTCCGAGAGAGACCCTCTGTGCAATGGCATGGGCGCACACAGCCTCCATCTTTCTCCTTCAGAGCGGCTAGTGGGTTTGAACCACCGACCTTGCAGTTAGCTGTACCACCCGGGCTCCTCAACTGCTGTTACTTCCCACTCTGCTGTGGCCAGTAGCAGGAGCCACCTACATCCAAGGACCAGACACTTTGAGGGGCTGAGGGGCCAACCCAGCCCATCAGGTATACAGAGCAGCAGGTATGGATAAGCACTCCTGCATTGGGGGGCTCGGACCACCCCATTGTGCCGCACTTGAGTCAATGAAGAGGGGTACTTCACTGCAGAGGAGAAGGCCAGTCCCAGGACACAGGCTCACCAAGTCCCGGCTCAAGCCCCGCCCTCTTGCCAGCCACCCGTGGGCCCAGCCATATGAGGGACTCACTGTGAACCTCGATGACCTTTTCCATGGACTGCACAGCATTGGAGTTGGGCCTCTGTTCTAACGTCTTCTCAGGGAGGGGGTCCAGCTGGAGAAGAACATGGGACAGTGGTCAGTATGGTTCACCTCCCCCCCCAAGGGGACATGGATGACCAAGGCCTGAGCTGGACTCCAGTGGACTCCTTTGCTGAAGCCACTTCCAACAACAAAGAAATCACACTTGCTCCCACGGAGCCGGTGCTGACTCACAGCACCCCGGTGGGTTTCCGAGACTTTTAACTGTCGACGGGAGTAGAAAGCCCAGTCTTTCTCCTGAGAAACAGCTGCTGGTTTCGAACTGCCAACCATGCCAATCGCAGCCCAACAAGTAACCACGACACTACCAGGGCTCCCAACAAGGAAAAAATGACTTGAAATCCCAAGTGGCCTTGGCATCGACTGCAGAAAGTGGGTTCTCTCAGGGCAGTTCAGAGGGGTTCTGAGAATCGGACAGCGGACTGCCCCAGGCAAAATTGCTTCACGAGGCCCCTTTAAAGACCCCCTTTTCAATGTATGGATGTTGCTTGAGGACAAGGTGTGCCTGACCCCAAAACCTGGTATTTTCAGTTGCTTTTCAAGAGTAAGGAAGAATGAAGAACCGATGCATGAGAAGACGGACCGGGCGGGACCCCCACCAGAACCGACAAGATCTGTCTCGGAAGAAGTACGTCAGGATGCGCCTTAGAAGCAAGATGGAGAGACGCTGTACTTTGGGCATGTTATCAAGCGAGGCCGGTCCCTGGAGAAGCACATCATGCTCGGTGCCGTGGAGGAAGAGGACATGGACACGAGGAAGGCCCCTAACGAGATGGATGGGCACAGGGGCGGCCACAAGGGGCCCAGACATAAAACGATTATGAGGATGGTGCAGGGCTGGTGCTGCTTCTTCCTGTTGTATGGGGGCGGGGTCGCTATGAGATGGGACACCCCAATAACAACAGCAGCAGCCACAGGTGGAAGGAAGAAGGCGTCCCTGGGCGTGCCGGCCAGCGGGAAGGCAGCATGTCTCAGGGTGTCACCCTGCCATTTAGGGGGAATGGTCAGTTTGTGGAAATACCAGTGTCCAGTCCCTCATCAACCATGGCTGTGGCCCGGTCAGCTCTCTTCACGATCTCAGCCCCAGCAGCTGGCCAGGAGCTTCGGGGAGTGTCTGTCTGCACAAGGCATGAGTGACAAGGGGTGAAAGTGGCCCTGGGAGAAGGACAGAGGACCCGGCGAGCTGTGACCAGATGTGGAGGGAGGCTCGCCTCGGTTTCTCTCCCAAGCACCAGGATGAGGCAGGAGCTAAGTGGGGAACATCCTTGGGCTAGAACCCAGAACCGGTGGGGGTGGGGCAAAACTGGACCAACCCAAGATATAAGTCCTAGCCACTGGGCCCAGAAGTGACATCAGGCTTTGTCCCAGGCCTTAGGGTGAGCTGCCAGAGCGTGCCCTGGTGGGATTCAGTCTGGACACTGCATGTGTCAGGGACACTGGGGGACACTTGCTGACCCCTGCTCAGGCCCCACCTTGTCCACTGATGTGTCCTGTGGACTGACTTTCCTGGCTTGGGTTCAGGCACAGCCCACCTGGAAACTCGCCCACCACGGCGAGCCAGACCCCCACTCCTGGGCCCCGCCTTTTCCCCACCAGAGCAACAGTGTCTGCCGAGCTCCGAGCAGATCCACCAGGGGCTGGAGGCCACCCACAGATGAGAGCCCCCATGGGGCAGGTAGCCGGGACAGACACATGGACGCACCCCCAAACACACCTTGCTCCTCAATAGACACATGGATCGACCAGACAGACAGACACATGGACAGACGGACAGGGATGCACGTACCTCGTTCCCCAGCAGGGCGGAGACACAGGCCTCTGAGGCATCACAGATGGCCGTCAGGTCGTGGCCACCTTCCAGGGCCAGTATGACGCGGCCACCGGCCAGGCCCATCAGCTGCTTTGTCAGGTACCCGAAGCCTGCAGGGGAGAGGGAGGGACTGCAGCTGGAGGGGGCGGAGGGGCTGTGGGCAGGTGCAGCGCCTGAGGCATGCTGGGTAGGGGAGTGGACACAGGGCCAAGATCCCTTTACAAAGGCTCCCTGGGGGCCAGCTGGGACCCCCCACTGTGGGAGCAGGGATCTGGTTGGGATGCGTACTCAGGGGACTCGGAGGGACAGCCCAGCTCTGCAGACAGACAGTGGTGAGGTGGCCAGGCACCCCCACTCCAGCTCCCCAGAGGGCCTTGGCACTGCTCATCCTCTGGTGTGTACACACATACAAGCTCACATGTTCTGTGCACACTCACACTACTGTACACACATGCACACACACGCGTGCACACATGCACAAGCTCACATTCTGTGCACTCACACTGTACACATGCACACACTTGTGTGCATATGCATGAGCTCACGTTCTGTGCACACGGACACCATTGTGTAACACATATCTATGGGTGCATGCCCCCACATACTGGTGTGCACACGCTTACATCCACGTTATGCACACACCCATGCCCACTGCCCCCCAGGAGAGGCACAGACTTGCTGGGATCCTCGCCCAATCCCAGGTGAGGGGACCTCTCCCCTGACCCCGTCTGAGCAGCCAGGGTCCTGAAGGCTGGGACTGGTCCTTGCCCTGTCCTGGCCAGAGGAGGCCCCAGTGGCCGAGCAAGGCTGCACAGCTGGGCTGTCTGCATGGCAGAGCTCCTGTCAGGACCAGTGGGCCTTTTCTCTGGGCTGCTGTTAGGGCTGGAGAGGGGAGAGGAGCCCCCAGGGGGTGGGTGGACAGGTCCCCACTTACACTTGGCGGAGAGGTTGTAGCCCCCAAGGGGCGTGGGGTGGCCTTCCACCGCATCGAAGCCCGAGGACACCAGCACTACGTCCGGGGCAAACTCGTTAGCTATCGGCATGACCACTGTCCTGTGGGAGGGGGTGGGGGTCAGCCATGGCCAAGGGAGGGACCCTGGGGGAGAGGGTGGGCAGCTGTGTGGAGGACCCAGGGGGCCAGAAGGCAGTGGTCAGCAGCTTCGGCAGTGGGGCTGGAGTGATTAGTCTGATAGGGCCGGGCTTGAGGGTGCTCAGCCAGGCCAGGCCCAGGGACCAGGGAGGGGGGTCAGGTGGTCAGCCAGGGCCAGAGAACCTGAGGGTATTGGTGAGCCAGGGCTAGGCTGGGGATCCCTGGAGGCCTGATCAGGGGCAGGGTCTGGAAAATGTCATCAGGACCAGCAGGGCCACTACCCCAGGCAGTCTGGCTGGTCTGGTCTGGCATTTGCACCCCGCCCACACAGGGCCAAGGAGTTGGAGGGGACATGGAGCCTGAGAGCCATTGAGCCCCTCGAGGCTCATGTACCCCCACTACAGCAACCCTAGAAGACTAAGCAGCTACTGAGGCTCCAGAGCACATCACCCCATTTGGCAGGAAGCCCCCACCCACTACTGCAGCCTGGCCTCATGGCTGCAGCCAGTCAGGTGGGAGACGCAGGCCACGTCCAAGTGCCCAAGACCTAGTGCCAGAAACAGAGGGGGAGACTGGCCGCCTGCAGCTCCCGCCTCCCGGGAAGTTTGAGGGAGAGAAACTGCTTGCAGCGTCCTCATACCTACAGAGCGCCCCTCCTGCTCCTTTGCAACCACAATGCCACTAGGCGACACGGACCCCCACGCCCCACCTCCGTGGCTGACTGCTTTGTCTGCGGACGTGAGTGTGGGTGGCTAAGGCAGGGCTGTGGACGCCGTCTGACGTCATGGGGGTGGTGGAGTGGACCCAGAGACTGGGAATGTTTTGGGGGATGTGCGCCAGGGTCGTCGTCTCTGACTGCGGCTGCGCGGAGGGACTCAGGGGCGGGGCCAGGCGTCGAACCTGAAAGCAGTCAGGTACTCGGCGTCTCCCATAGGGGGGTCGAGGCCGCCGGCAAAGGCCATGTTCACGTTGAAGCCCACGCCGGGCCCCGTGCCCACCTGCGAGAGGGGGCACAGCGTCAAGATCTGCCCACCACCCCGCCACCCAGCCGGCCGCCCCCACCCCCGGGCGCCGCCCGCTCACCTCGTCGGGGGCGCCGCTGCCGGGGAAGAAGTTGCCGTCGTCGTAGCGGTGCAGCGAGACGTAGAGGACGCTGGGGTCGCTGTAGAAGGCCTGCTGCGTGCCGTTGCCGTGGTGGACGTCCTGGGGGAGGGGGAGGCAGCGCACTGTGACACCCCCCCCCTGTGAGCCATCATGCTGCTCGCGGACTGATGGGCAGCGAGACACCGCGGCCAGACCCGCCCTCAGCCCCAGGTGCGACCCGAGCCAGCAGTGAGTTGGGCCTGTGCCCGGACTAGGGCCCTGCTTGGACGTGGGTGCTCAGGTCTGTAAGGGCCTTTGCCTGGCCAGTCTGCTGTGGCTCGTCAGTGCCCATGGCCACTACGCATCGCCCTGGAAGGACTGGGATGCAGACCAGAAGGACTGGGTACGGGCCGGCATTAGCCTCCTGTGTACACACAGGGTCAGGGCCCTATTCCTAGAAGGTTCTACCTTTATGAGGCCTGTTAGTGGGAAGGAGGGCATCACGCTGCCAGCAAACTTATCAGGTGCATTTCCCAGAGCCCTGGCCTGAGAGGGCAGGCAGCGGTCACTCACCCAGTCCACGATGAGGATCTTGCTGACACTCAGCCGCTGCTGCAGGAGCTTGGCCGCGATGGCCACCGAGTTGAAGTAGCAGAAGCCCCTGGGGTGGGGGTGAGGGGCAGGGGACTCAGGTTGGTGTTCCCGCCACAGCAGGCTCTGGGGCAGGGGCTGGCCAGGTAATCAGAAACCACATCCCCACACCGGAGGCAATGCTGGCCCCACCTCAGAGGGCCAGGAGCCACCCCCACCCCTACCCCCCATTCCCCAACTTCCTTCCTCCACTCACATAGGTGTGCTCTCCTCCGCGTGATGTCCTGGGGGTCGGACCACAGCAAAGCCATTCTGCACCGAGGGTGGGGGTGGGTGGGAAAGAGGGGGCAGGGTCACACCCAGCGGGGGTCACTATCAGACTCAGTGGGGAGCATGATCAGACTAGGTGGGGGGCACAGTCAGATTCAGGGGGGGGCACTATCAGACTGGGTGGGGCGCATGACTGCTCCCCCCTCCCCCCCAGCCCCTGAGCCAAGGCCTTCAATGGAGACGGCACCCAGGAGAACTGGCACCCAACGAGCCAGCTCAGATGGAAGGGCATGTGCCCTGGCTTTCTGCCGACCACTGCTGCTGGCAGCTGGCTGAGCCAGGTACCAGTGTGTATAGGAGGAGGTGTGTGTGTGTGTGTGTGTGTGTGAATTGCTAGTGGTCACAGGATGTCCCCACCCACACTCAAAGCCCTCACCCCAGGCTCCCAGCAGCCCTTTCACCCTGGGCATGTAGGAGGGGGCAGTCCCCTGAAGCCCCAGAGTGCACTGGGTCTCCCTCACCTTTAGCTCGCCGGTGGCCACCTTGAAGACCAGTTCCACCACGCAGCCCACGGCCAGCCGGGCTGCCCCTGAGGAGTGCACCTCGTTCCAGATGGTGTCACTGTCCACCTGCGGACACAGCCCTCATGGTCACCGCCCTGCCCACCACATGGCAGCAGCCGGGCCCCTGAGGCCTGCTGACGCGCCACTCCCGGGCCCCCTCCCTCGACTCCCTCTTAAAGGACAGATTCCTCCGGTCCTTCTCACGCCACAGGCCAGAGTCTCCCAGCAGTCCCGGGGGTGGAGTACGGCCCACCGGCACCTGGCAGCCCTGGCCCTCAGGGTCACTGCTGGCTTCCCTCCTGCCCTCCCCGTCCCTCCCCGTTACAGCACCCTCGGCCTGGCGTCTGGGCACCCAAGGGCCCCTCAGACGTGACTTTGTCATATTCTGGATAAACTGGGTCAGTTTATGACGATGGGGCGGGGGGCCAGGTGTGTGCGGGAGAGCGTCAGCCAGGACTGGAGAGGCGGGTGGTCCATTCTGAGAGCTGTTGACCTGGGCCCAGCCCTGGCGCTGGGGACCCAGCGGCGTGGCTTCGGCAGCACAAGCACCTGGTTCAGGGCCCGAATCTCCTGTCAGCCTCCAAGGGCCCTGGGGTTCTGGGCGAGTGGGGAGCCATGGCTCCTCTGCGCCCCTAGGTCAAGGAGGTTCTCAGCGGGGGACTCAGGTCCAAAGGCTGCCCTCTGCTCCTGCTCTTCTTTCCTGGTGTCCTGGGTCCCTCGCTCAGCTCACGTCTCCCTCCTGGGATCCCGTGTGAGCCAAAGGCGGTGCCGCCTCTCTGCAGGGAAACGCCCACACGGCCATCCTGCTGGGGCAGGGGTAGAAGTCCCGCTTCCTACTCGGAATGCTTTCATTGGCCGATGGCACCAGGCAACATCACGGGAGACGAGGGCGCCATTGCAGAGCACCGAGCACCGAGCACCACAGCCCAGGCCGAGTTGGCTCATGTTTCCTGTAGCAACTCACTGGGGACACACTGCGTACACCGGGTGGGCACTCGGCCATGTGGCCCAGGGCTCATTCATTTATTTTGGCTTGTCGCATTTGAAAGGACACGGCGACCGGTGGTGGATGTCACTGCCAGGTGGCCAGGGAGAACTCTGTGACACGCGGCAGCACACTCACACCCTCTCCCTGTGGCCTGTCCACTGAGCATCAGTCCCTGGGGACTCCTGGAGCCTTGTGGCCCTTGAGGGGCAAGGAGGTCCCTCCAGTCTTCTCACAGGCCCCTAGAGGGGCAGACGGGCCACTTCAGGATTGGCTTCCATCTGGAGATTCAAGGGTGGCATTGCCTGGCCTGCGCCAGAAGGATGTCCCCCGCTGCTCGGGAACTGCATCCCACAGTTCTAACCCGAGTCGGCCAGCAGGCCCCAGGCCTGTCAATGGGGATGCCCTGGTGGTGTAGCAGTCTAGCGCTCTGCTTGCGATCTGCCTCCCTGGAGAACACAGCTGGGGACACTGCGGGGGTGGGGGGTTCCAGGCCTTTCTTCCTGGGATCCCCATGGTCATCATGAACCTCCAGCCTGGGGTCTAGTCGCTGAACTCTGTGCACCTCCAGGGGCTCCTCAAACACCAACCCACCGCACAGGGTGTCCGAGATGTGGTCTGCACAGAGCAGGCTGCCACGACCGCTCCTGCTGTGTGGCTGGCTGGTGGGCCCAAGCCACTGATTGGCCAGCAACCCAGTGTCTTCCCCCCCACCGGCTGTACCACTCGGGGCTGTTTTGGGTTCTGAGCTCGGGCTTAGCTGCTGGCCCCACCTATCCCCTCTTCCTGTCCAGGAGTCCCACCACAGCGGCAGGGAGCAAGGGCAGAGGCCTGCTCACCAAGGGGCAGGAACGAGGCCTGGGGAGGCTGCGCCACGGACAGCGGCCTCTGGTGGGCTGGAGACCCAGTGTCTAAGCAGAGGACCAGTCCTGAGGGAACCTGGCTTCACCCAGCGCCCAGCTCGGGAGGTCAGTGGCAGGGCCTGTCCCAGGGAGACGTTCTTATTCTCAGTAGTGGATGATAGCCACAGGCCGACCACTTTGGCATATGGGAAAGCTGAGTCTGAGGGCCGAGAGAGAAGCGGCGGTCACTCTTCTCATATATGACCTTCTGTGTCCCCTTCCACAGTGGCAGCAGCGTCCCTCACCAAGACTGCCTGTCCAAGGTGCCCTGTGTTTCCTGCTCCCCACAGCTCCTGGGAGGTGGCCACAGGCTGGTGGGTACGCTGAGCTCACGCTCCTAGACAGGCAGCGTCAGGTGGGGGCCTGTGTTGGGCCCCCAGGCCCTGTCGTCCCCGTTGCATGTCTGAGCCCTCATTCAGCTCTCCTCTGCAGGCGATGGGTTCCGCAGGGGCTGGCTTGCCAGAGGCCCGCCCCTGGGACAGGCCCTGCCACAGCACAGGCTGGCCACGAACTTGCCAAGGCTCATAGGACCCTACTGGGGGCGGGGGCACTTGAGCGGAGCCCCATGTTGCCGTGCGGACACTTGCTGTGAAGGGCATGTGTGGACTGGGCAGTCCCCATCACCTGACAGAGTTAGCCCCAAGAGTGCACGCTGCAGATACTCACCCCGACCCCTCCACACGGAAGCCGCACGAACACTGAGGTGAGGGCACCTGTGGGGGGAGAGGGCAGTCAGGCCAGGCCGCCAGGCCCACCCACTGGGCCAACAAGAAGGGTGGCATGGCACTTGTCTAAGCCAAGTGCCCCCCTCCTCGAAAACCATGATGGCTGGCATCTGCAGGCTGAGCTGGGGTGCAGAACTGCAGGAGAGGTCCTGTCCTCTGGCCAGGACCCCGCCTCCAGATTGCAGCCTGTTGGGGGTACGAAGCCTTTGGGGAGAAAGCAGGCCTACTGGGAGATTCTCGGGACCCTGCCCATGTCCCACATACCCGGGACCCCTGTGAGCCCTTGGTGTGTGGCCATGAGCTGCATGTTCCCACCTGTGTCCCCCTCACTGAACTACACCAGGCTGAGCAGGAGTCCCAGGGCAGCAGGGCCCCTAGAAGCCCACCATCCATGGAGCCCACATGGTTTGGTTCCAGGGACAAGGGGCCACCAAGCTGCCTGGAAAACTCTCCCAGGCCCCAGAGAAGCTGGCAGTTGCCTGCGGGGGCCAGTGGCGTCTCTGCAGTGGGGCCTGAAGCAGCCAGCAGCTACCTGGGCTCTCTGAGCACTCTGGGGGCCCCGCTCTCCCGCCTGTGTGGACCCCAGCCTTCCAAATCCAGGGTGCCCCACCCCAAACTCTTTCTTGCTCTGCACTTCCAGGCCAGAGCTCTGGGGGTGAAGGTGGCCCGTTGGGTAGAGGTGGTCTCCATACCAGGGGTTGGATCTCTACCACCAACCAGCCATGTCCCCCAAGCCACCCCCTCCACATTGATGAGAGGGGTGGGGCCCTGCCAGGCTGGCCAGCCCTGGGTGGTGGTCTGGGGGCTTGCTTAGGCTGCCCTCTATGCTGGGCCTGCTCCCCCCCCCCTGCCCCCCACAAAGCCCCCCTGCACTGCAGCCTGGTCCTGTCACCATGAGGCACCTAGGGTGTCCCTAGTCCCCCAGCCCTCCAGACAGACCTCTGGACTTCTGATCACCATCCTAACCCCACAGCCACACCGAGGCAAACTCCCTGTGAAGCCGGTTTACAGCGGCCCTGCAGGACAGAGTAGAACTACCCCT